TTTTTTGCTGTCGGAGGTCAAATAGCGCTATCGGACGGTCTGAGAGGCTGCGTTCCCCAATGTTTGCAAATAGATCACACTTTGGATCCTCAGGGAATGATTGTTACAGCAGTGTACACACACATACACCAACATGACATAACATGACCATGCACGCGAGCATGCCCACTTACACCACACATGTTCAAGTTCCATCTATTGCACATATTGAATGCATTTAGTTGGATTCAACTACTGCAGTCCGTATGTTGTGCATGGATTGCAGTGTTTGCACACGTTGTGTCCTTTTGAACGTGTGTCAGGGACTTCGAGAAGAACGGTCGTGGACCTGAGGTGCTGGCCGATGGCTTGTGAGACGAACATGGTGACGTAGATTGCTGGTGCATACAGTTTTAACATGTCTGAACCAACTACTTCCTGTCAGTTCCATGCAGAGAGGGCAGCAAACAATTCAGATCGGCCACAGCAAGCATCATTTCAAATTTCATGTAGTTTTCCACCAGATACAACAACTAGACCGTCAGAGCCTGGTATTGGAAGTAATAACCTAACCGGACCTAACCTAATCTAATAGGTTGGAGGCCATTCCTATTAGGTTGGAGGCCATCGCTCTCAGGTTGGAGGCCATTCATTGCTAGTAAGTTTGTTTAAAACATAGGAACCTAATAAAAGAGGTCCTTTTCTGAAGACTAGCATCTGAAACTCCACCAACAGGTCAATGCAGCCCAACCCCACCGCCGCATGCGTGGGCTGGATATCCTCTACAGCGTTCGCAACGGTGCGCTCGGGGGCGTGGGAGTAACAGTGTTAGAATAGCAACATAGGGCCCCTAGCAGCGTCCTTGCTCCTAGTAGTAAGGCCAAGAGCCCCTAGTACCGTCCTTGCTCCTAGTAGCGGGCTCCGGCTCCATACATCGTCTCATACATTGCTGCGGTGGGTATTTGATACTTGCTTTTATTCGTTGTGTGCCCTTTCTTTTGCAAGCGTTTTGGGACTTACATGTGCCACACCAACAAATCCACTGCACTTCCCTCATGTTGAATATTTTTCTTGCCGTCAGCAAGCCTAACATAGCCTAACTTTGAGCTGCAAAAATGTCCGTCACAATAATGTGACTTTGACATATTTGTTGACGTACTGGTGGTGATGTCATTGCGCCTCGCAAAATAAGTGAGTCTACTAGAGTTCCTGGAGAGTTTCCAATGCATCCCGGCATGTCATGTGTAGTGTTGGGGAGCTGACTTGAGCCACCAGTGCAGAATACAATTGGTTTGTCATGGTCCACTTTTAGCGGATCACTACCGCATGCCAGATTCCGCCATGCTGCCGAAACCCGAAGATGAAGGCTGGCAAAGGATTTCAATTGGATCATTGAATGACAGCTGACCCCTGCGCTTCCTCGAGCGTTTGTTTTCTTTTGCACTCTGTATAATTTCAGTGGATTTCAGTGGATTCACACAGGATTACGAAGGTTCGGATCCTTGTTGTGTTCCGAGAAGTGCGGCTTGCCGCCTCAGATTGTTTAGGAGTGCTGGGCATGGGAGAATTCAAAAGACTTATGCTGTACACGGCTGCACAGTGAATCCGAGCAAGGTGGAATCCAACACGAAGAGGAGGAGGATGGCCATGCTGAAACTCGACAAAGAGCCTTCAAGCTGTTGAGGAGCGCCATGGTTCAAAAAGAAGTTTCAGCATGCCAATGATAATTTGTAGCCATCTTATAGTTGCTTAGCATATCTTAGCATAAACTGGCGACACAAACACTCCGAAGCGTCGCATTATGCAGGACCATACCTTACTTTCAGACTTTGGAGGACAGCCTACGGAGATGGCTGTTTTTGAAATGCTTGATTAATGCAACATTATATATATACTGTAAACAAACACACACACAATATTTGCTTTGAACTGAACTGTCTAGACATTTACAGCAACATGTTGATTAAAGCACGTAACAAATATACACAAAATCATACAAATACTAAATGATTATTCTAGACGAGCTACCAATCTTGTCTTGAGAAATGTACCTGGTAGCATGCCAGACCGCCCACAACGGAATGTCGTGGAAGCTGAGCTTGGGAACCCGGTTCAAAAATTGAGTGAGCGCCAACAAAGTTTCTGCCTACTTCAACTTGTTTCTTATGCACTTAGTTAGTTGTTTTATTTATATCTCTTTCCTCCAGCACGTGTCACAGTGACAGTTGTTTTCATTAGAGGTGCTGTTGCTGACTCTTGCAGTTCAAAGGGGCCCTACTACCCTTTGCCTCGTTGAGATGTTGTTTTTGCAATTCAATCCACAAGGTTGCCAAGATTCATCAGTAGCTTGCTTTTCAATAGCTCCAAGCTCAAGCGCAAGTCGAGCTATCTACAAGGTTACAACCTACAACAATCAAGTCTTCATTACTGTAAAACAACAACAATAATAGCAGTTTTCTTGACCGATAAATTATTCCCGCAGCTGACATGAATCCTGGAAAATTCTGGTGTATGTACAGAGTACAAACCACATTGTGTACAAAGTATAAACATGGTTGTGCGTGTGTGGATATTGGTACAGATGGTGCATGTTGGGTAGCTGTGTGCCAACGGCTGATGATGTCGACTGATCATTATTGACATGAGGCCGGCGCTGCGAATTCTTCAAGGAAGCTGCGGGGCAGGTGCAGAGATGCATTTCACGTCATAACATGAGAGGCATTGAGAGGCATTTGCATGTGAGCCTATACAAGACGTTTGATGAGAAGTCATGTGTATTTTCTCAAACGCAAAACCCAAGGCCGGTCAAAGGCCGGCGATATGACATTGAAAGGGATGTATGTAAACCATTGTATACCAGATGTGCTCCTCAGAGAATATCCGCCCTGCATATTTAGATCGTGAACGTTCTTTGCAAGACTGGCGATTGAAGGTTCTCGGGAAGCGTGTCTTGCTGTACTTGAGTTGTCCAGTGTTGTCCAGACATCTTAATTTGCACCTGTGGATGGCCTGAAAAGTTAAAGTACTTCATGGCTTGGATGGTTGGCCTGAATCCAGCATAGTGCAAACAACTGACTAGGTGATATTCCGGCAAGATGATCCTGCGGGGAATTGTTACGCACAGGCCTCGGCATAGTGCACGCATTCGACATTTCCATCATGTTCCATCATTTGGATAGGCCATAGACTCTTAGACCTCTAATTGTTAATTCTACGGTCTGTTACTCAAGCTTTGGTGACGCGGCCAAGGTCTTGGTCAGTGGTGCAGTTGCTGTAAAGATCTACAAGCCCAGCAATGATGAGGTCGTCTATATAGGGGGGCGCAAGGGTCAATATTGCAAGCTAGTTGTGACTGACAGTTTGCAGCAGTATTATTTGAATTGACGATTCACTTTTGTACGTTTGATCGGGGTCGTGTTGATTCTTTTTGCTGTCAGGAAGCTCCTCGTCATGCTGGCAAGACTTATATAAAACATCTTAAAACCGGTGACTTCAGAGCATTGATGGACTCCGATTTCCTATTGGCTTACTATCAAAGCTGCCACCGGGTGCTCAAGCATCTGCGCAGTCAAGACTTAGCAGTTATGAAATGTTAGAAGAATCAGTTGCCAGACTTTAGGATAAGCACCCATTGGTAGAGTAAGTCTCACGCTGCACTTTTCTGAGCCTGAACAGCTACTAGATACTGGCTGTAGCCTTTATTTTCAGCCGCTTTCGTGCCGTGATGACTTCGATTTGGCTTGTTCTTCTGGAACTATACCTTGCTGCTGCCAGCAGACCCTACAGGGCAAGAGTTGTGGCAGGCAACCCAATTGTCCCCAAGAGTTGTGCTGACAGGCGTGGAGAAAAGGTTGTATTTTAAAAAATACTATATACACAAACGCATAAAAATAATCACATATATATATATATATTTACAATATGAACATCACATATATACATATTCACACTGTACACTTGCTAAGTAAATATTGCAGTGGCCAAAAGTAGTCTAACTACTCCGTGAGAACAACGCTCTTCAACCTTGGTCATGCCATCTTCTTGAAAAGCCAGCGCAGCTCAAGTATTGGGCTGAGACCGCAGCCAATTATTTGGCAACTGATGACGGGGGTGCATGCAGAGGGATTCGGGTGAGCTCGCAGGTTTGGATACTCATAAAGAGAAGGCGGTTTGGGGTGTTTCAGGTTGTCCAGGCTGAGATGACTTGAGTGTGGCAGGAACCATTGCGAGTCTGTTTTCCCAGATTGCCTCATCAATGCATCGTTGGCTGGGCCGATCAAGAAGGCAGCGGAAGATCAAGTGGACATCCTGGTGATTTGTCCCAATTGGAAGTGCTCTTGCTTCCTGGGCATTATGTGTTTTCTTTTGATAGTACCAAAAGCACAGAACACATAATATTCTGATTGTCAGCCCTTTTGCTCAGCCCCTTTGTGCTTTTGTTTGAAAAGCAAAGGATAAACGTTAGTGTGATCTTGGAAGTATCGAGTACCTTTACATTAAGACCCCGAGAGGGCTTGTCTGATGAAAGTCGTTGCACACATCCGAGGTCTTTCCAGAAGCTTATGGTCCGGACGACCCGTACAGCTGCACGAAGCCAGACACATTGCTGCCAGCACCTGGCACCATGCTTTGTCCAGACGGTGTTGCTGTGACATCATGGTGGGCCAAGGTTGCATGCTTGGCTAAGCAACCGAGAAGAACTTGCATTTTTTCCAAGCAGTTTGATAACGGAAGTTATCAAGATGCTGGAGACGAGTAGGCCCTATATATAGGCTTTTGTTCGATGGACAATCTCTTATTTTTCCTTATTTTCGGCGCACAAAGGCAGCATCGTGTGCTTGTGGTGTTGGGAGTTTACGACTGGGGTGCCTGCACCCCCGGCCCAGATCCCTTTCTTCATCGCCCTTTCCAGTGCTTTGGAAATCTTACAATGTTCAACAAGGCTGTCGCCTTTGGCATTGATGGTACTTTGCTTGCGGTACATCACAAACACCACTTGGCTCACAGCCTACTCCCCAAAGAAAACATCAGCCAAAAGCGAGATGGACTTGTTTACAATCCCGGTCCGCTGGGAGTCTACAATGATGATGTGTGTGCGGCTTGGCCGGTGCCGGACTCCACCACTTTCATGTCTCACTTCGGTGTGAAGTTTGGAATGATCATTTGCCACGAGATCAACTTCGCCTCACCGGTGAGGTCAATGATCAAAGAGGGTGTCCGGGATGTGATTTTCCCCACCCAGTGGGGTGGGAGTTACGGTGGTTACTTTGGTGGGACCCAAAGTGGCTTTGCAGTTGCACATCAAGTAAATCTATTGTCTGCAAATGGCATGAATGGAGGTTCCGGCATTTGGCCAGCTGATCCAAACAAACCTCCAGTTCAGATCATCTCTACAGTCGCTTTGCTGAAATTGTAGATTCCAGAACGTTTTCATTTTTCATAGTGTTTTGTTTCTCCTGGCAGATGCCTTCGTTGTTTGAACAACCATCAGCATGGAATCATCTAACCATGGTTGAAACAACCCTGTTGCTGGGACCTCACTCATGGAATGCAGAGAATGCGATATTCTACTAACGAGACACGTCTCCGGGGCAGCTCAATTTGCCGTGGGATTGGAACATTTACCAACAAGTCGCAAGTTGCACTGTTTCTGAATTTATAGGTGGCTTCAGACTTCAGTTGCAGATTTTGTCACATCCGCAGGATCTCAATTGATCTCACAACTTTGCTAGCTGCTAGCTCAACAGCCATGTGCCAGCCCTTATAGTTTCAACTTTTTGAGAGATCCTTTATCACAAAATCAAAACCCCTCCCACCAAACACCCCCCCCTTTGGAACAAGACTGAAATGTATAATGCTTACCTAGATAATTAACCCTGTAATATCCCTATGTGAAACCAAACGCGCACTCCTCATGTCCTGCCTTGAACCTGCTGTGTCTTCGTTCTGGCCCGAACCCAACCAGGGCCCTTGAGCCTTACTTTTCATAGAAAAGGAGTCCGGCTTGCGTCGTATTTCATGGTAGCGGAGCCGCGGTGACGACCGTGGCTCCGAGCGCAGGTTCTGGCAGCCGGGGGACGCCCCGGCACTGAGGACCTTCTTTTTCTTCGCCTTCCTGTACGAGCTGCGCTCGGAGGATCCTTGACGGGTGCTGAACCCGGGTTCGCTTTTGTAGACCGGACTATTTGGTTGAGTTTTTCCTTTACCAGAGCAACGACTGCCTGGACTTCGCCTTTGGCACCTTCCTCGCCGGAAACCGGCGCCTTCAGCTGATCTGCCAGATCACCCTGGCAATTCGACCTTCTCAGGATGGCTCAACGACCTTTGAGAGCCTTTTGGAGGTGGCGTCGGGGCTACATCCTCGGGTCCACTGGTGACCTCTCCGCCGGCTTCTCAGACGGCACCTCAACATCCTGAAGAAGATGAACCTTTTGATCTACCTGATCCTAACGATCCTGAACCTCCTCATGTACCTGATCCTTGGGCTGCGGCTGCCTCAATGGCTATGCCACCACCAAGGTTGCCGACATCACCTGTGAGATCGCCAGTTGGGCGAGCGGCAACCCCTAAAGCGGCTGCAGCATCTCCCAAGGCTGACAAGAAGTATGCCGACTACAAGATCGACCCTGCACCGGTTTGGAGGTGATGATCCAGAAAAGAACTACAAGGAGCATCAAAGGAACCTTCAACTATGGTTGGTGGAGGCTGAGGCTCGGCTTCCGCCAGGCCTCATTGGAAAGAGAATCATCGACAGC